AGGAAGGCTGAAATCTCAGTAGATTTTCACTGAATCTGAAGCAGGCTGATTTGAACTACATAAAGCAGGGAAAATCTCTTCCCACCTTTTGATCAAACAGACCTTTGAGTCTCTCCGATAGACACATTGATGCGGAATCAAAGTAAGCCGAACAAGGTCTGTTTTGGGAGCAACATATGCTCTGTAACTAACTGGCACCCGTAGTTGCTTAGCGAAGTGTTAACTTCTTGTCTCGATGCCCACGATCCGGGATGCCCAGGTTGATGTAAGGAGTGGTAGTTGAAGTTCCCATGTTGAAATGATGAGAAGGACCCACGGTGCCATTTCTTATTTATGGTGGACTTTAGTTTCGACTTTAACTGAACCATCCTGGATGAGATAGCCATTTGGGAGGCAAGGATAAGTGAACTTCCATGGCATCACGAAGCCCCCTCACCTCATTGTGGGATAGGTCAACTATCAATCATTTAATTAGCTTAAGCGGCCTAGGCTGACATATTTCTTATTCAAGACGAAGTAATGGTCTCGAAAACTAATTACAACGAAAGGAAATATAAGTAAACTGAAATTGATTGGCCTCACGATACTAATGAGTTCTACTAGCCGCCCTCGCGAAAGGTCAATTCATCCCGACGAGACCACAGTTTTGAACATACTTCACCGTTCTCTAAAATCTTCGAGAGTGCTGATGAGAGACGGTAAGGTAAGTTTAAAACGGTAGAATCGTCGGGATGATTAGACTTTTCGTGAGCATGACTAGTTGAACTTCAATGGCATCAAGAGGCCAATCAATTACAGTGTGAGAATAACTCTACTGTCATACCCTAAATTACTTTAAGCGGCCTAGATCAACTATTTAAAAATATACATATCATATAGCATACATTTTCCCTTCTCTTCCTCTCATACACATAAACACACACACATATATATATATATATATGTACAGCTATGCATTGTTCGAGCAAGAGAAAAAGAGAAATAAAGGAGGATATAAAGCTATGTGGTAGACAAATGCCACACATTTTTTAATTTTCCTCATTCTTTGGATCTGGCGAAAACGAGCTGAGCTTTTGTCTCTGACATCATTTGGCATCATCAAAAGCTTATGCCAAGAAATAGTTCAAACTAACACAAAATACCGCCAGTTTTATCTTGCATGTTAGATATACGTATAACTAAAAAAGAACGAAAAATCTAACGTTTTATGATATATATATATATATATATATCATATAGCTTCATGTCTTCCTTTTACGCTATATATCTCTAACTATTTATTTATTTATGTGTATATGGCTGAAGCGGACGCTGCGGCTCCAGGCCCTACCGAGTCCTAGTGGTCTCGTGCTTGGCCCTGGATCGAGGGGAGTGTGTATAACGGATTTTTATTCTCTCCACTCGTCAAGGCTGCTAATGCATTAGCATTAGAGCGTTAAGATGCGTCGACTTTGCGCGCCCCAAACTGTTCGATCAGGCTAAGCCCATTGCCACGGCAACGAGGATTCAGGCTGTGGGGTGCTTGCGCAAAAGCCGGCAAGCCTTATCGAGGCCGAGAGGGCAATGAAGTCGGTCGGGGATAGGATGAAGTAAAGTCCAATGGGAGGACGTTGTGAGGCGGAGAGTATGGATCATGGGTCGCCTGATCAGAGTTGAACTCAGGGCGAGGCAGGCGAAGCGAGAGAGCGAGAAAGGCTGATGACCGCAGAGGCAAAGAGGACCCGCGGATCGATTGCGTTTTGGGCTCACACCCTTTCGGTCCCGGTCTCGAACGGAGGCAACAGTCGGTTGACCGGTCGCCCGAGTCCTCTTCCTCGACGTCAGTACCCCAAAGTTTGTCCGCACCGTCTGACTCGTGTCCTTCTCTTTCCTTGTTGCCAGGTGCCGAGAGGGCAGCAGACGAGTCGGCGTCCACCTGGCGAGAGTTGGGACTCGAACCGGAGCACCGCGAGGCTGACCAGCACGTCGAGATGATCGGCCCCGTGACCGGGCTCGAATCGCTTGAATTGCAACAGGCAGAAGAGCTGGCTAATCGGCGCATCTTCGCCAGATTAGGAGTCTTGGCGGTGTCGTTACTGGGCGGACTGGTCAATCTGATAGCTCTGCTGGCCATCGTCTCGCTCTGCCGACGTCGACGCCGGCGCCAAGGCCGAGGCCGAGGCCACCGGCAGCCCGACCGATGTCGGCGTAGACGTCCGAATCCGGACGCCGGTCGACGACGGCCTGACTGGAGTCGGGGGCCGATTGGCTCGAACGAGCTGAACGGAGAACCGGACAGATTGTGGCCGATGAGAGCCGGACGTCCTGCCGACCGCAACACAGCCCAGCTGGTCAACATGCCGTTCTGTCGTGAGGCGATCGTGCGGCGCTCCAGTCTGCCCAACATGCAGGCGGCCTCGGCGTCGCCGAGAGGAGAGGCAGCAGGAGACGGCGAGAGGGAAAGAGAGGAGGCGAGGGCGAGGGCGAGGGCGAGGGCGAGGGCAGAAGAGGGAGCCGAGCAAGGACGGAAGGCTGGCGACAACATGAAATGGGGAAAAGTGGGAAAGGTGAAAGTCATAGCAAATGCTGAATCCGGCTTGGCCGGACACCTCGGTCTCGAAGGTCTGTCGGATGGACCATCGCCTCGGCGAGGTGCAAGGTTCGTCAAGGCCTCGCCGACCCGGTGGCAAGTTGGTACCGACAGCGAATGTCTGGCAAACGAGCCAGTCGCGGAGGTTGCCGTGACAACGAGTCGAGATGACAATGGGGCCGAGGCGACGTCGCCTACGGAGCCGTGCGAAGGGGAACCAGACGCAACAATCACTGTCGATGAGCGTCGTGAGTCTTCGTTGGTGAGTCGGCCTGTCTGATTGAGCAACTTTTTCGTTTGTTGAGGCACCGTCGGATGTCACTGTGCTCGAGTTTAAAAGAAATAGTTTTGGAAAATTGTTCTACTGATGTGCATTTTCCACGTGATCTGTCTTTGAGGCTATCGCAAATTTTTTTTACCGACTCATTTAGAGAGATTCGGCATTGCAGACTATAATTAAATCTCTAATACGTCTTCTAGTCACCCTAGGTCGCATTAGGTGACAGAATCCCAGCCACTGATTAAAACGATAAAACATATTTAACTCTGGTTGTTAAGGCAGCTCAAGCCGCATGATTTTTAGGCGTTTGAAGCATGGTTGAAACGTTTATAAGAAGGCCTGATTGGTCAGTCAAATAGATGGTATTGTTTAATGAGCTCACTTCCATTTAGAGTGAAAGTGTGGCATGTTTAGCTGCAAAGGTCTAACCTGCCGTAGGGCGATTGAGTATTCCTCACTGTCAGCTGTCGGCTGGCTATACTAAAGCATTCTGGTTGACACTGCTTCCGAGACCATCTCCTTCGATTCCGGTGAAAACGTGCTAAGCGCTCGTCTGTCAAATTAGCAATGTATTATTTTTACAATAATATGAAAAAAACAGGGTTTCTAGGACTGTCTTAATGATATATTGTGATATGAATTTACACTTGGAAGGAAAAGTTGGTGGGAAGAAATTTGTAAAACGGAACCCGAAGGAGGATTGCTGTAGAGTGAAGACTGTTGGATTCCGCGAAGAAGTCCTCGACTTCCGAATTCATTCAAAACAAATTTTCCTTCGAAGCAGAGAGTCATGTCACAATTTCATTTTTACAACCAAGTTTAAGCTGACGACTAAAAAAACTCACCTGCTTATCCATAAATGCTGTATATATGCACTTTGATGAGGCATAATTTGGCTTGGTTAATGCAAATCATTATCATAAGTCATATATTGGCAGGTGAAGTTTGTTTACTCGTTAGCTTGAATATGAATCAAGAAATGATTTCCATTTTTGATGATGGACTAAAGCTTAAAGCATCTTTGCTGTAATTGAAGGAGTTTGCCTCGAGGATAGCGTTAGCAAGAATGTTCCATTAACGCTTGGTTGAGAGTAATTCACCGTCGACTACTTTTTGAATCTACTTTCGAATCTCCTCATCATACGCTTCACGCTAAATGGAATTGACGCTAACAATTATAAAGCCAGATACTCATCGTAACCCATTTTTCTTTGTATAAATGACGGTATTTTGTCACGAATATGCCGTCGACTGCAACATGTATTGAGATATCGAACATATCCAACTATCACTATCGCCCTCAAAACGATGCAATGGTGTACTTCTATCACTAGATGAACAAATATACTCAACTTATTTTGTATATACAGCTGCGATACAACTCATCCTCAACTACAGAGTTTTCTGATCTCCATTTTAAACGTGTAAAGTAGGGAAATCCTTTTAGGTGAATAAGAGCTAATTGAAGGTGTGAAGACCAAGATGGTGTGACCTTTTGTGTGGTCGCAGTCTCCTTTCGTTGCATAGAAGTTGTTTACCTTGTTTTCACAACATGGTCATATTGGTAGGAAGACTTAGAGGAGCGCACCTAGTCCGGAGACGCAGAACAAACACCATTCGGCACATTTTTTTAGAGAAATCCAATGCATATGTTCACATTAGCAGATACGACAGAGGCTCTTTCTTGTGGTCACTTTGCCGATTGAGTAATTTGTGAGTTGTTCTCACCAGAAGACGATGATGAATTCCTGATGCCCTTCAGCCGTCTGTTATTACCACCACGTTGAAGTTGGCACAGTCTACCAGACATCCTACAATCATATGTGTTTCTACCTGATAAATATCCTCAGAGCTTAAACTGATTTTTCAAAAAGCATTAAGTGAACCCTTAATCAAGATAACCAGCAAGTTATTTGTTACGTACAGTGCATATACTAAAAAAATTCAAAAATAGTACAGGATATATATATATATATATATATATACCGTATTTCCCCATGTATAAGCCACCCCCAAATTTTTTGACTGTGAAGTTTTGAAAAAATATTTTATTAGTGAAACAAGTTAC